TAATTAAAAGATACAAAGGCTAAAAATATTGGGGAGGGGCGTAAATTGAACCTCCTTTATAGTTATAGATCAAAAAACAATAAATTTAGGAGGGATGATGGCATTAACTTGATCTCCAATATGAGAAATAATATGGAAAAAAAAAATTAGTATTAAGATGCTCTAAACCTACTTGCAATCAGTATATTAAAAAGCATGAAAAGATGCCGCTTAGACACGCCTAGATGTGAGGGTTTTCAAATTGCTTTGTATAAAAGCAAGTAATGACAAAGACGATCAACTCCTCTTTTAACCGTCTAATGTGGATTAGCGAGCTTAGGCATCAAAAGGCCCACACCTTTTTATATATGTTTTGAATTCCAATTTAGTCTTTTGGGGTCATTAATTTCTTGGATCTAATTGCTTGTGTGGTCCTAAGCACTAAATTAGTGTGGACAATTTCTTAGGTCCTAGAAAGGAATTTTGTGCTTTCAATTTTTAATTGTCTAATTTTTAGGAGATTAAAAATTGTTCAATTGTAGAAATCATCAAATAATTGTAGTGTTATGATTTTAGTTGTTACGTATGCATTATTTTTTTTTTAACGATCTTAGAATAACTAAAAAAAATAAAAAAGACCTTTTTTTATGTCTAGATTTCGTTTAGGCACGTCTAGTCTTATAAGACTTAATATTGACCTTACAATGACAAGCCTTGTACCTTTTAAAACATTACTTCTAGGATGGGAATAATAGTAAGATGGGACAGTCATTACCATCCGTACCCCCCGTCGAGAATTTGGGAAGGAGGGTGAGGTCGAGTCATGACAGGGATTAAAAATATTCCTTATCGTTCTATTTCATTATTTTTATTTCTTAATATTATTTTTGGTCTTTTAAAATACGATTATCTAAATTGAAAAACATAAAAATATTGTAAAATAAATAAAAGGTTTATGGGCAGATTCGAGAAATTCGAAACAAGGACCATATTCTTAGTCCCCGCCCTATTTACCATTCATGGCGGGGATCTCTCGCCTCATTCAGTGCATTAGGACAAGTGCGAGCGAGCGAGCGAGAGAGAGAGATTTTTCTATCCCTATTCTACGAATCAATTTGTGAGTACTTGAGTTTTGTCAAGAAAAATAAAAAAGAAAGGTACATGGGTACTAATTGTACAGTCCGTGCCACATAGTTTGACTTCATTTTTTAAAGCTCATTTTCAATAATACATTTTATGGAATTCACAATTTTTTTGTCAATTTTTCGACGACGTATTTCATCAAAGTTCATCAAAATCTACTAAAAGTATGATTTTTATAAATCAAAAGGAGGCTAAAATTCCTAGGAGGTTATCTAACGTTTTATAAGTGTGGTAGCGATGTGTCCAGTCTTTCATTATAGCATTCATGTCCTCAACCTTTTAACATTATGAACAAGGTACCCACCTAACAGAAAACATATATTTTTAATCATTAAATGGCCATTCGATGAGCATATAATGACCCAGTTTGGTACTCATTTTTTTCAAAATGTATTTTTTCTTTCTTCTTTTCAACCACATATTCTTTATTAAAATAATATTACACATAAATAAAAATAAAATTCTTATTTTTCAACTGCACATTTCTCATCAATTTACTATTCAAAAATGTATTTTTATATAAAAATATCTCCCAAACACCCCCAATATGTCTGCTTGATAGGGTAGATTGTCAAAAGAAAATGGCAAAATATAATGTAATTTGAACGATGAGCATGTGATTTTTGAAATGTGCAATCATACACACCCCACTAATTTTATTTCTTGCATTATATATTAATTACAATGAACATCCACAATCTTTGCTCATTTCTTCAAAAAAAAATTCATTGCATTCTTATTCTTAACATTCAATTAAACTTCAATAACAATTAATATATATTTGGAAAAAGGTTAAATTACAATTGCGATAACAACGAAAATGTTTAAGAGTGCGGTCGAACAAACAAAATAACATGGTGAGTATGTAAACTACCTTTTATAGGATGTTAATCAAAGATACATTTTGCTGAGAAATAATTAATACGACATTATAAATAGTTGCACATACCAAAGTATCCCCATTAAAGAATAAAACATAACGCCAAAACCCCCATTAAAGAATAAAACATAACTCCAATATGTAGAATTATGTAATAATTTATATTTGAACTTTTTTATACTATTTTCTTTTCCATTTAAATTTTTTCTTTTTTCTTTTTCTCTCTCTTTCTCGTATCTCTCCATGAATTAAATTTTTTTGTAAAGTTTGTTGATTATATTATTAATAATTTTTTTCTCATTCATTAGTTTTTAAAAGAAGTAATAGATATTTATTAACAGTATTTATATTTACTTTCTCTTTTATTAAGCTTGATAAAATATATATATATATATATATATATATATAGAAGAACAAAAATTTGGAAAATTACTTATAAATTCCTAGATAACGTACATGTTGTAGGATGATTTAAAGTTAATAAACCAACTTAAAATCAATTTAAACTACAAAATAATAAACGAAATGAAAAATTATTTTACGTAAATTTCATAGATTTTATATAATGAACATAGCTTTTTAGTTAGAATGTGACAAGAATTTCCATTTTACAAAATTGGAAAAAAAAATAATAATAATAAATTGTCAATACTTTTCAATTCATTATTACTTATTAAAATAATTCCGTATTCACTTAAATTGTAAGACGTGATTTATGAAAATCAAGAGTCTTTTTGTTTGTTTATTAATTTATGATGGTATATTAGTAAAAATGCTTTGTGTAAGGTTTCAATTTTCAAAATCTGATATATAAAGGTATTCTGTAAACTTCCTTTAATTTTATTAATAAAGTATGCTCCCAT